GACCAGCTGGACAAAATCACAAAGCACCAGGAAATGGTAATTACATCATTGGTGTCATATATGCAGTTTGCTGGCACATTTCGACGGATGCATAAATGGATGAGTGGATATTGCAGCCCAGCTTCCAGCCAGGAAAGAATCTGCAAATAAACTTTGCAGTTCTTCTGAAAACAGCTGACTCGACTATTTTCACTGCCGTGAGAAATCTGCTTTTCAAGCTCCATCACTTTGAGATTTGGCTCAGAGAATCACATTTTGTCTGTTCCCTGAAGGTAAATGGAGACATGGCTGTCTCTCTCCCACCTCTCGTGAAATTGTCTGCCTCCAGTATCAGCTCCCTGTTTGGCACTATTGTCAGAGTACTAGCTTTTTAGCTAGCGGGTGCAGAGGAGGTGTGTGTGTGTTGGTGTACAGCTACAAATATGCAGACAGCTATTCACTGAGTACCTAAAGTTATAATAACTTTTGCAGTGAGCTAATTTTGATGCTTTAAAGTTCACAGAGATGTGCAAAATTCCTTCCTCTGCTTGTGAATTAATGTATATCCTGCTACGATTGTGAGTTTATATTAATTCACGCTCCAGTTGACTCGTCACTTCTGTTTAATGTCAACCCACTTCTGTTTTTGATTAAGCCACACAAGCATACCAGAGTAGACCAACACGTCTCCAAGGTCCCTGTCTTGGATCTTCAGATTGGCGAAGACCCCCACCAGCAGAGCGGCTCCACCCACTACATCCATTAACACGGCAAACGCCAGAGCCAGTTTACAGTGGGACAACCCAGTATATTCGCCCATTATTGAGCTGGGAGGGAGGAGGAGAGGAAAGACTGTTACAATCTGACAGAACCACAGGTGAACTAAACCCGCTACAGGATCACTGATGCTTCCACGTGTACTAGTGGAAGAATGATTCACGTTAACACTGACAAAATTAAACATATTAAATGTTGTAAATTCACAGAATTCAGACATTTACATTCTAATCAGAGTTTAGATTAAAGCTAAATACATGGGACAGAGGCCTAGAATCTGAAATGTCAAAAGAAGGAGGGACTGCTTTCCTG